TTATAATAAAATAACAAAATATGACGATAATGAATGATATTTTCTTCCATATTCACAGTGCAATAGCAAACACAATACTAAGCTAGTTTCAACAAGAGTTAGCAGATATAGTTGTTGATATATTACAAACAGGATAAACAATCAACCTTGGGGATTAATTCATCAGATCAGAAGTGCATCATAGTGGCATAAAAATAAATAGAAAAACCAAAAGGAGTTATTTGCCAACCCAATATTTAAAAATGTATGATAAGCATTGTATTAGTTTTTGAATATTTTATTATAAATTAACACCATACTCTTTATGTTTCAGCTATGGCTGACTTCAAGCATCAGCATTGCTGACCGAAATATGGGCTATTGTATGACAGGCAGCCTAGATAGAGGAACAAAGAAAACCCACAATTACCAAACTACTCATTTCGCAGTTATTCGAACTCACCATGTTCCCAACAAATATTGAAAATATGATTACTTACATAACAGAGATGCAGAACTTTTTTAATATTATTGGCAAAATAGTTTAACATATTTAGAATAAAAAATTAATTTCAGCAATATTCCTTACTATATATATTTTTTCCTTTATTTGGATACATAATCGTAACAAAAAAATTAACTAAAAAAAATAATCTATTTTTGTAATTGCAAGCACCTCAAATTTTCCAGTAAAAAATTGTGTTTTTAAAGACAAAATACTCCTCACAATTAATTTTTTTTTTTTAAACTAAATATAACAAACATATCAAATTATAAATACATTCAATTTATTAAGGAATCGAATAGCTAAAAAATAATCCATGAAAATATTCAATACATCAAATTAAACATAAAAAAATATATATATTTTATTCCAGTTCAAAAATAAATTATAAATACCTTCTTAATATCTGATAAATAGTAGCAAAACATTTTCTTAATACCTGTTAAGTTCAGATTCCGCATACGTTTCAATATTTATAAGATGCAGGTTTTCCTTTTCTTTTTTTTTTTCTTTCTTTTTTTTTAACCATACATAACTGGAAGAAAATTCACTTAAATGTGAAAATAAGGAAACTCAAATTCATTAGGTATGCCTTCAAGCGACATTGCTGTATCTACGTAGAAAACTTTTCATAAGGCAATGTTTCTCATAATCCCCATCAATTCTCCACAGCTCTTTTATATATATATATATATATATATATATATATTAAATTAAATACAGAATGATCTGAGTCTAATGTTTAAACTGTAACTACCCTATCTGATTTTTAAAATTGAATGTGATTATTTTTTAAATTACCAAAGGGATTAAAATACTATGGAAATTTCATTATACAGCTACTCATTTTTGTCTTTTTCGAATAATTCCTAAATGAGTGAATATTAATACACTTCAAAAAGTATGATAAAATTTGAATATTTTCATAAATAAATAATGAAAATGTGAAGAAAAATCAATCATGTTAAAAAATTCTTATCATAGTCAGTTCAACATTTCAACATTTTGTCCCATCATGAAGACCATACTACAGTTTTCTAATTCCTTACATTGCAGTATTGAATATTTTCATAAATTATTAAACAAAGTCAAACAGGAGATTATAAAAAATTTTAAAAATTTTAAATGTAACTATAACTTTGATTTAAGAGTCTGTTCACCATTTTTTTACAAATGACAGCCACCAAAATTAATTATTTGGTCCAGCTAATTTAATTATACTTCTAAAGATTATAGCCTTCATATGCTATACATTCAAAATCTATAGAATATAATTTGGGGAATAACACTTGTTTGAGGCCTGCTGAACAATTGATTATTTATTTATACAAAAATAAATTTTAATTAATTACTACAATTAATTAATTACGAGTAAAAGGCAGAACATTCAAGCATGTTCTATACTTCATTATTCATATTTCACTAAGTAAACTGAATAAATATCTGAACATTTCAAATTAAATAAGTCCAAAACAATAGAATAGTTACTTTGAAATGTTAAATTCAATCTTAATAAAACATACTATGCACTGTATATTCTACAAAATTGTGAAATGATTTTATAATAACATGTGTATACCATTCCTAACGAGTCCATCCTATAGTCTTTAAGTTCATTGTATCATAATCAATTGTATATAATATGTCACTTGTTTGTTAATCAAAATGGCGAATAGTGAAGAAAAATGGATTTTGTGAAATTGGATTGTTAAAAATACCTATTTAAATTATAGTGTAAACATATGTACAAGCTAAAGATTTAAATACATATTTACTCATTTTTCACTCCTGCAATACTTCAACTTATTTGTATGAAAAAAGCTTATGCCAATGAATACCAAATTCTGAAAAATCCTTTTCTTCACTACCAACAGAACTAAAGAATTATAGTTAGTTTAAGTATGAGTTATTTATGCAATGTACATATTTTTCAGTTTGGTATAAATTTGAGTGCTATCCGTCCAGGTTATTATTCCAAAATTCCTACTTTCTTTTATTTTTAATTGGTTTTTCTTAGTATGTGCATAATTATGGTTTATTTACATTAAAACTTCCTCTAAAAAGTATGTTTTGTACAACAAGAAAAAAGGAATTTTGAAGAATTGATTCCATTTTAATGATTAAAAAAAAAAAAGTAGAAATGCTTTGAGATGCTGTCCATAATGTATTTCGATGTTTTATTACTAGATTAATACACATTTACGACCCATAAAATAAATAAATCATAGGATATAAATATTAGTAAATGCCTATTTTATTAGAGCTATGTAGTTTGAATGGCTTTCAATAACTTGTAAGTATAAAGCTAGTTTGGCCTACCAACGTTTGATGTGAACTGGCCAGTGGGTTACAAACTATACAAATACCTCATTTACTTATTGTATTTTCAAAGCCTATGTAATTTGACAGAATCATAATTATAAGTATTTTTGAAGCTTTAATGTTTCTCAGCAACAGTAGATACTCTCTATATAATAATTCTTCATGGTTAGGAATTGCTAATTATGGCTCAATTTTTATTGAAACATCTGTAATTTGATTACTGTACAAATATTAGACATGTAGAATGTTGAATATAGCTGAGTGTACATCTGTTAGTTATAAATATTTGTAAATGTTATTGTTTTTATTTTAATGATTTGATGTGCGTTATGTTCTGAAATTGAATGAAAATATTAGGAAGTAGGCTAAAATTATTGTTGGTATAGATTTTTATAATTTTCATTAAAACACTCTGACATTTGTCTAATCAATTAAACAACGATTCCAAAAGACATTTAAGATAAAGGAAATACATACTTTTATTTGTTTTTTCATCATTAACTTCAAACAAAGTCACAAAGCGAAGGCTGTGATTTCAGTGTTTCATAACAAGCTCATTAAAAATGTGTTCAATTACTAATTGTATCACAGAAAAAAAAAATGCACTGTTAGTTGATTGAAAAAATCAATTTATCGTCAAAAGGCCGAAATTTCTGTCTTTGATGCTAGAAACGGAATAAAAGAAAAGAAAATAACTAACAGAAATTTGATATCTGTACCAGCAAACAGCAAAATAAACAAGCGTCAATTGAAGAATGTTAAACAAAAAATTGATGGATGGTAGTAGATATGAACACTATATGTATTTATTTCTGTGTAAAACTTGCTCTTATGTATTGAAAAATAAAGAAAATAAACAAACTGACTATTTTTTTTTTTATATGTCAGTAAAAATAAAAATCATTTCTTTATTACCCTGTTTATAATAATGCTTCCAAAACACTACCTGAAAGTTGCAATGCAATTGGATAGTATGATATGATTATTACTTAAATTCAAATGGAAATGTAAAAACTATATTGTAATATACTTTCAGTGTTTATTTTACTTTTTTTAATAAAAGAACAGCCATTATGAATAAAAATTTATAATAATCACATAATGAGCTACCCATTCAATCAATGCAGAAAATGGCTTATCCAAACCAAGTACTAAAGATATTTCCTACTTAATCTAATTTCATTCTTTAGGGAGAATATATAGACTAAGAGAATAAAAAGATTTAAAAGTATTTCATACTTTGACTATAATTCAGTTAAAATTCATGTAAATATTCAGTGAAAATAACTTGTTAAATTACTACTTTACCCTTCCAGAAATGTGTAAATCAATTTATATACACATAAATATATTTCAAATAGGGTAAAACCCCCAGTTGTTGGCACCCACTGCAGTTATTGAAGAATATTAAGCGTCGGGAATGGACCAGGCCTGGCGAAAGGCATTCATTTGAAGCGGGGTCCCTCTTGTGCTCACATAATCTAGCATCTCTCACTATTCAATTAGTTTTATAGGTCGAAAAAATTGCTAAATATTAGAAAAACAATAGGTGTCGTCCCTTACATTTTTGGTAAGAAACACATTCCTGTACAATATCATTATAGTTCTTTCATCCTGAAGCTTACCAGATTTAGATTTAATTCTTTAGGATTTTGAAAATTGGGTAGAGGGTGCTGCAAATTGGTTCATACAGATATTTTTCAATTTAAATATGAAAAAAATAAATGAATGATTGTTCCTTCCTTTCTTTAAATGAAAATTTAGTGAGTGAAGGCAGGATTTTCAGTAGATATTATCATATATAATCTTAAATATGGCATTGATAACCAACAGGTTTTACATTTTGACTATAACAACCAAGCCAGGATTTTAAACAAACAGAAAAACATTTAAAGCTAGTTCCCAACTCCACATACTACGTATCTGTGGCACCTGGGCATATGTTAAGTACAAAAATCATATTAACGGAAAAACCCAATTGAAAGTTTGGAATTTTCACAGGTGCTGGTTCAATTTTTGAGTTTCAACCCGATTCACAAAGGAATGTTCATTTTTGTAATGGCCGCATAATTTAGCCCATTAGACAAAAAGAAAGAGTGAAAAATTAGCATTCTGGTGATACCCATAAAATTTATAAAATTGTACGTAACACACTTTTCACAGGTGAAAATAGATACATACTAACTAATATTTTGCTATATATAATTTATTAACAAATAGAAATGACAAACATACTTATAAATAATAAATTTTCAAGAGTAGCTTAAAAAATTGAATTATTGGTGGCAACAAAGCATATTGGAGGACTTTCAATTAACTTTACAAAGATAAATTTTTATAATTCTGTCATCTCACCAATCCTAACCTATGCATATTGCATATTGAATGCAACCTGGATCTTATTGAAAAGCACAGTAAAAATAATTGGTAGATTTGAAGGAAAATGTAGAGATAAATTATGGGTCCGATAAAAGAATATGGAGTATATTCTGAGGAGAAAGAGGAAGACCTACTGTAATCCTAGTTTCTCATTTTGTGAGTTAATCGCGTTAAATAGCTAGGGCACATAATTGGAACAGATGATAGGCAAGCAGCTAAAGTATTGTACCAGGGAACTCCAGATGAAGTCAGACCTTGTTCATCGAAGGATTTGGTGTTTTTGAACCTGATTGTAACAGGAATATCCAGATGAACAACTGGTCAGGATTATTGGGAAAAGGCAGTTGAGGGGCCAAGGGAATTTCATGTGCCTGTTGAGGTTATAAATAAATATAATAACCTTTCCAAAAAAAGAACTGAAGATTGAGAAAAAACAATTTTATGAGAGAAAGAAACCAAAAACCCAAAAGAGAAAGATACAAAATGTAAGATTATGAGAAAATAAAATGTAATAATAATAGCAGTTTGTAAAATTAAAAATTAAATACAAATTTAGTGTTCTTATAAATAATAAATTACATATTGCACAGTTATATATAAAGTCTATATAAAAAAACACTTTCATTCCGATATTGACATATTGCGATATCGACTTACGACAAAGCAAAAGAGTCTACTGCAGAGTTCTGAGATGAGATTCCTTCAGAGAATTGAAGTTAAAACAAGGTGATATCGTATCAGAAATACTATAACAAGGGCAAACCTCAATGTAAAACCTGTACAAACAGTGATCGAGGAAAATCAATTAAGATCAGTGGACAGGTCATTAGGATGGATGGAAATAGAATAGCCAGAGCAATCTATGAGGCACAGGTGGACAGTCGTAGACTGAGAGGAACGTCAAGTAGAAAATGGGAGGAAGGTATGAAAGAAGCATTTGCAAGCAAGGAAATGGATTGGAGAAGGAGAAGAAAATTGGTGCAGAATAGAGATCAATGTTCAGGCTCAGTAAGGAAACCCTAAGTCCCTTCCAGAAACTTAAAAAATATCAATCTAATTTGACTAAGTATTATCTTTGATCTATTGGAAATTTATAATGGAAGATATTATGACTTAACTCAATACATGGTAAGAGTTGTGCATAAAGACTTGTGCATAGACAAATTGAAGATAAAGTTTAATGAAATATTATGCTTAACATAAAAAATCAGAAAAAAACAATATTTTTTTTTATCTATAGAAAATCACAATACAAATAATGTAGGAATAAAGTATATAATTTACAAATAGATACATATTATGTACTCACAAGAGCAAAATATAAATGAAAATGAAAACTTAGTCACTTAAGGTTTTCCACTAAAGGAGAAAGTATATTATCTTTTTCCTGATGATTCTAAAGAGACTAACTTCATACTCTATGAAATGTTAAACTGACACATTGACGTAATTTTTTTTTATTTTTAATCAAATGTAACTGTAATATTAATTAAATTATGAATAAAAGAGAACTACTAAAAAACTTTTCTAAAACCAACCAATCATTGGAAAAAAATACTTTAAATTAAGTAAATATAAATGATATTTGAGAAACATGAAATGTTTGTATTTGAAGGTGCATTTAGACATTACACAAACTTTGGTACAAATAAATAGGTAAATGGTTATTTCACTATCCTAGTATTTTTGTTTCTTGTTTTTTATATTTTCTATCTGCTATTGGTGCCAAGAGAAATAAAATAAATAGTTTGGTTTAACAATAATGTCACTGTTAGTTAAGTTAGATAATCGTATTTCCATTACTTTGTGAAATGTCTAAATGCTCCTTCAGATTAATTCCACACAGAATATGTTAATAATCACCTTTTCTGGATAAATTTAAGGTGATTCAATCTCAAAAACAAATTAATCCAACTATTTAAATAGTAATTAAACACAATACTTCATTAAATTAATTACACAATTCTTGCAGTGATGTACATATAGAGTGTAAAAACAAAAATATTACAAGTATTAAAATAAAATAAATACTTTTGACAACTAAACCTTTTTAAATTAATTTAAAGATAAAACTGTCCCTATTTTAGCAAAATGTGATAGAAATTTTGTACTTTCTTATATAATTTTTAATAAAGTAAACATTAATAAATAGTTGACAAAGTATAGTTACCATTTCTGAGTATCAATAATTGATTAAAGTGTATAAAATACGATACTGAAAATAAATACTTAAAGCTGTTTTTACATGACATAATTAAAAATATATACATTACTTATTATAATATAAATTGTGATTATAAAATTTCATTAGGCTATGTTGGCAGGTCTGCTGTTTTTGGCTCTACAACTAAAGGTAAGGTTATTCATTTTAAACTTTGATAGGTTCTTTAATTATATCAACAGGTTAATGAAGGGAAGAGATACACTGAGTTATGTAAAATATTATTTAATTAGGTGTAAAAAGAGATAGATAACATTAAGCATTCAAAATTAAAACTAAAATATATATATAACAACAAGAGATTCTCTTTAAATCTATTTTTCTGTAGGTGGAAAACTTATTTTGTCCATTAAATCATCAATTCTTGAGGTAAGTGTTTCCAAAACTTCAGGGCATATAAAAACATGTGTTTCATCTAAATCTTGAATGATGAACTTTTGTCCTAAAGCATTCGTTTCATCTAAATGGATTAGAAATTCTTTCATGGCTGGATCACTAAAACATAAATTTCAGATGTAAATATGAAATCTAGATAACAATAAAAATTTTATTAAATTTGTAATAATATATTTCAGGTTAATAAAGACAACACTATGTCTAAGAAGAAAGGACTAAGTATTGAAGAAAAGAAGCAAAGGATGCTTCAACTATTTTATGAAAAGAAAGATTTTTTTCAACTTAAGGTGTGATAAAAGATCATTTTCTTAAAATCTCACAGCCAAAACATAAAAATACAAACATATAAACAGCAAAATTAATTTTCTAATTAGATTACATAAAATGGCTGTATAACAAAACACTCAATATTTTAGGAATTGGAAAAGCTAGCACCAAAAGAGAAAGGTATAATTGTACAATCAGTTAAAGATGTAGTACAGAATTTAGTAGATGATGGTTTAGTGGATTCTGAAAAAATTGGGACATCTATATACTTCTGGGCATTCCCAAGGTTTGTCATTAATACATAAGTTTTCCCTTATATCTATGAAACAATATTGTTTAAATTTAAATTATAAAAAATGATTATTTTTACAATTTCAGTAAAGCAACTCATACAAAAAAAAGGAAACTGGAGGAGATTGAAGAGAAAATAGACACTTCAAATAAAATTCTTAAAAAATGTGAACAGACTTTAGAGGATGCTAAAGTATGGAATAATTTGTAACATATTCATGCTATTGTGGTGTTTGATAATTAAAAATCTAAGATCATTTTGTAGGTTGGCAGAGATGAATGTTCTGAAAGGGATGACGTTTTAAAAACAAACAAAGAGCTTCTCAAAGAAAACGAAACATTGCTATCAGAAATAAAGGCATACAAGGACTCTGATCCAGAAGCATTTGAGCAAATGAAAAAGGACATTAAGGTATTAGAATCAGTAATTCAGATAGACCTATGTTGATTAAACTGAACTAAATTTTTATGATCTTGATTTCAGTCTACCATTGATCTTGGGAATAAGCAAACTGATAATATATTTGCTTTTATATCATGGTGTAAAAGTAAGTTTGGTATGGAAGAGGAAACATTGTATAAACAATTTGAAATACCACAGGATTTGGATTATTTGGAGGAATATAAATGAAATATAATGCTTACCATTTTACAAGTATTCCTTTGGTCACATTCACCATCTTGCTAGTTATTTACAATTCAAAACTTTTTGACAGCTCTGAAGCACACTATAAGTTTCTAAATCTCTAGGAGGTTATGTTGGGTTATAATTGTTGTAGAACTTTCTCCCCTCTCCTGTTTATGCTCATATTGTGCTTATTTAATTTTGTTTTCAAAAATGTTTCTGTATTTTTTTTTCTAGTCATTTTGCTCTTTTATTTTATTTAGTTCATAACAATACATTTGGAATGTGGAAGACTACGTTAAATAAATGAAATTCAACTGAATTTTAAATCAATCTCCTTAATAGTGGAAGACAAAGTTTTTCATTGAAACCAATATTTTTGTTACTTCAGAATCAAGAAACAATAAATTACTATTTTGTGAAAAAATATTATTCCTAGATTATTTGCACCTTTTTTTTCATAGATAGCCAACGTTTACAACGAAAAGGACAACATAAACCAATTAGAAAAAAAAATTGTGAATATAAGAAACATTTTATTCATTAGAACTTGGTGATAAAGTTGCATTACTATACGAAAAATCTATTTCACACAAAAAAAATAAATTGATATTTAACTTTCCAGTTTTTTAGGAGTTATTGTTCTATATTATAATCATGTGTATGTTCATGCCTATTGATTATTTTTTAAATGAATACTTTTCCTTTGAATAAACATGTTTTTCCAATCTTTCATTATGTCAGAAGTATCTGAATAAGTAGTGTCCGTCATATTGAACATTCTAGTCAATATTCAATCTTGATTTCTTAATTGCCCGAAAATCTAATCTAAAAACTTTAAATTGTTGCATTACTTCCAAGACCACATTTTTTCTTCTATTTCATGTCTGATTCGAGCATAGACCACGGTTCACCTTTGTTCTCTGCTGTAGTTTTCCAGTTTCTGACATAAACCAAAGATATTTTATCAGATCCCTTACAGAGAAGCGCCATATATATTCATGCCATTCATTTTCACATGAAATGTATCCATTTTTGCAATTGCTGAATATTTCAACCCAATTTTTTATAATCATTTTCAAAGTGTTTATATTCCCCTTGTAGTTTTATTTATTTTTCAGAATTTAAGTATATTCTAATTTCATTAAAAAAACTGTGTTAATCTTTTTTTAATTAGTAGCAATGTTTTAGATAAAGACTCCATATTTTATATAAAACATGACACACAATAGATAGGTTTGGAATTGATTGAATGTAAAGACTTACAGGTAAGTCTTCTAACATCGAAAAGGAGGACACTTTAAGAGGAAGGATTCCCTCCTGAAGGAGGACTATTGATACCATGATTTTTTTTTTAAATCAGTTTAATCACAGTTAAATAACTGTCTGAAAGAAATTGTTTTACTTCATGATTTTTGGTTTATACCAAAATTATTAATTTGAAAATGGAGTTGGCTAGTTTTGGAATTCTGTCCCTCAATTTATTACCTTATATTTACATTCCAGCCCTACTCTATGTTTTTATAATGTAAACTTTGTATTAATATGTAAATATTGACTGTGAATTATAGTTTTAAGAACTGTTTGTTCCCAAAATAGTATAGTACTCAATAATTAATATCCAAGACTTGCTGTTTTCTGTTACCACTAACAGAGACCAAACATCAACTAAGACCAAGCTGTTCGTTGACCAAGATTTGCTTAGTGTTGACACACACATATATTTAAAACAAGCAAAGGAAGATGAAAAAAATGTATTCTTAAAAATTAACTTATAAGGCATGAGAGAGAGGAACAGGTAGACATTGAGGAAGGTATTGTGCTCCTATTCTCTTAGATTTAAGTTTTTATCTGTCTATGGCAGGTAACTATTTATTCTGTTTAATCAGTAAAGGATTGACCTGAGGAGGTTGGGAGATTATCATGGAGCACACATAGCATCTATGAAGTGGGTACTTTAACATATATTCGTCTATGACAAAAATTCATCATTTCACTAACGATCACCAACAGCCAAATGATGAAGATTTTGTCATGTTTACTTTACAGAAAACAATTGATTCTGCCTCTGAATTCTAAATAAATTAAATTTTAATTTTTACCGAACAGAGATAAAGAGATGCCAACATTTTGTGAATGAGGGTGCAAAAAATTACCATATGAATATGCCTTAAATTCTAATTTTTATCAAATATAGACAAAGAGATGGTGGTGGAAAACATTATGGCACGAATATGTCGTCATTTGTTAGGATCCAGCAAATCCTGCTGGATGACCTACATTACATTATATAGATGCATATTAGAGCATTGTCAAATGCAGTTGAAACCAGCCTGGACCGTTTAAAATTTACTTCAAGGCAGATCCACAGAATGAACCTTCTCACTCTGGTTGAAATAGATTCATTGTACCTCTATCATCTATCATACCTAGGAAGTTCATTATTTAAATTTAAATGATTTATATCATATCAGGAGACAACATGTTGCAGTCCACTTAACAAAGTGTTAGCTTTGGGTGTTGGGTATTGATTAAATACCCATTTTTTTTTTTTGTCTATTTTCACTCAAATTGAAAAAGACTGTGATGCATGTGACAATTGTGATATGATCATTAATTTTAAACTTAATAAAATTTTATTTTCAAATAAATTAATTAGCCTTATCTCTTTTATTTATCTTTATATATTGCAAGCTTGAAAAATAATTTATAATATATTTGTAATTCCTATGGTGTGAATTTAGAATAAAAAACATATTAAAAATACTGTTGAGACTTTTTATTACATAATGTAATATGGATGAGAAAAAAAAGTATTAAAGAAAAAAGGACACAAGATTAGGCTACGATAATAATCGTCTTTAATAAACAGTGCTGGGCGACAATCATTCTAAATACAAATAAAGATATGGATTATTCAAAATATTGTTATTTTGACTGCCTAACTACTTGAAAATTTTTAAATTGTTAACAACAGAACTACCATGACGTTGAACGGCAATGTGTCGAGTTGCTAAATCACACAGCATACTCACTCACTTTGTTATTGATTATCAAACTTGACTTGGGGCTCATTAAAATTTTCAGACAAAAATCACAGTATTATTAATATTTTTTAATTTTTGATAAATTAAATAACAAACCATAAGAGATAATACAATGAGAACATTAAAAAAAAAAAAACAGAATTTATAAAAAAATATTATTAATTATTCATTCTATCATAATTCATTCATAAACTTATCACATTTTATAATAATAATATGTATCAATAATACAAAAAATGTTAGTAACTCAATGAGATTTAATTAAAACAACTGTAACTTGATTAGATTGAATGACTTGAGCACTGATACCTAGTGAATGACATTTAAATGTCTACCTACCTAGTGAAATTAAGATGCCACTCAACTATAAATTCATGTACTTCTGGAATAAATTATTTTCAAGTGAACAATTTTAACAATTTTATTTAATAAAGGTATTTATAAAATTTTTATTTTTATTTTTTTACTCTTCTTTTTTTGATGCATCAAAACCTATCAGTCTTGTCATATACAGAAGATGGTTTTTATACAGTTTAGCCTATCCAATAGGTTTTTATAGTTTCATTCAATGCTGAGCAGGTTCACATGATGTTTTACTTAAATTTGTGATCTTTGACATGATGTACAGGGTGCCCCAGAAGGGGGTTTCATATGGTGTAAGCTGCGCCAACAAAATTTTTGAGGAGAGTAAATTTCGCCGGAGTTATGATATTTCAGATTAAGGGACAAGGGGGAAATATGGAACATGGAAGTGTAATTGTATATGATCTATGATTTTTCTAATTATGCCATAGCTTGCTCTGTTTTTAAGAAAATCTGAGTAATAAAATATCATGGGGGGGGGGGGAGAGGGATGAGCACTATAGTGACTTTATTTGTATTTTTGTTTAACATAGCAGTCTTATTTTACAATTAAAAAAAAATATGAAATTTGTTAATTTTCTTATCAGATTAGACAAAGATGGGACTTAGTGGCCATCAGTACATAAGATAAACCTGAAAAAACCCTTGAAAAGTAGTGGATTATAATATGTGATAGTTATTCATTGTTTACATACTTTAACTTTTGGTTTACAGAAATTGGTATTAATCAGTTAAAAATTCTTAAAAGTCCAATTTGCTTCTTAAAGAAGAAACAATGAGATGAAAATAATTGGAAATAAACTTATAATATATATACATATTTACAGAAGTTTCTATTTACAATTTTAGAAGGACTGGATGGAAAGAAAGTGATTGAATAGGTAAGATTTAAAAGTAGGGAGAGTATTGGAGCAACGGATGTCGGGAGGGATGGATTTCCAAAGGGATGAGGGTCGAATAATAAAAGATTTATCGAAAGCAGCGGCTCAGTGGGCCATTATATATAAATCTGAAGACCGGGAACAGGTATTGCGGGAGTGGACAGAGGATTTAAATTGAAGGAGCTCGGAGATGTATGAAGGACGGCGGGAGTGAATGACTTGGAAGACGAAGGATGCCAGGAAATACTTACAGCGGTAGGAAGGAAATAGTAAAAATAGATAAATAAATTATTGAAAACATTATTAACAACCTTGTTTGAAATACTGTCCTAACACACTAAATTTTTCAAGACGTTGGAGCATTTGTTTAGTAGAAATCTCCTGATTTGGTAACTTTAGTTCTTGAATAAATATGACACAGTTTGAACTTAGGGCTGACCATACTGTCTCTGGAACACTCACTTTAAGATTTAAAATTAGACACCTCTAACCACAGGCGGATCTACGGAGGGGGAGGGGAGGGAGGCTTTCGGGCTGAAGCCCCCCCAAAATGGTAAAATATAACCATGTTTTAAAGAAAAAAATATTAAAAACTATCTCTTAAACTATTATTGTTCGTTTAATTACATTTAATAGAACTTCAAGAATAACTAAGACACGTCATATTGGTAGTTAGTTTCTTTCTTTTATTTTTTTTCAAATTAATTATCATTATATATATGAAAAAAAAATCCTTCGGGCTGAAGCCCCCCCAAAATTAAATCCTGGATCCGCTAGTGCCTCTAACAGTTTAAAGTATGAATGTATAGTTATTTTCTTCACAGGTTATATCAGACTATTCTAATCTAGATAGGTTTGCTTAGTGGGAAAGGCTTTAGATTAATACTTTTTACCTGACCACTCAAAATTATTTTTTCTTATATATATTAGGTGAGCTGACTAGTGGTTGGTAAACTCAGTTTCCTTCAGTAATAACAATTTGCAAGATTTGAGGGGTGCACCTGTCAATTATACTATAAAGCATTTATTAATTATTTCATGGAACAATGTTCTTTAGTTAAATGGTCATTTATAGTATTTTATTAGTAATATCTAATTCAAGATTTTCCTCTGAGCCAAATTTTCAATATAGTGTAATTGTA